TTAAATTAGACTTTTTGTTTAATACTATGTATTGTAATTATGTTTTTTTTTAAATATATTAAATAATATTTAAAATATATATAATTAACTTTCAACATCTCAAATTATAAACTATATATGTATATTAAAATTTAAATAATGGGAGTATATTTGATGCCGACTGCAGTATAGTGTACGTAGTGTGGTGATGATCTTTTCCCTTTTGAAAGTAAATTCTTCTAAATACGAATTATTACTTTCTAAAAATAATCATATTTTAATTAATAGGTGGGAAGTAAAGCTCATATATATATTTTATTTGGATCACTCGGTATAGAAAAATTCACTAAGTTTAGATTCGAGTTTGACAAAATCCAATTGACAACAAAATTTTCTCTCATAAATTTTAATGAAATTATATTATCAAAATTTGAAACTAAAATCTTTGATTAAATTAAAATAGTTCACTTCCAATTCATTCACCGATTCACAAGTAATAAATCTGATACTAAATCAGCAAATTATATTGATTTGGGTATGAATGGTCATTGCAGTTTTTTTTTTTTTTTTTTCTAAACAGAAACTTGAAGCAGTTCTCTTTGCTTAAAATGTTGACATGCAACTTAATTTCTTTAATTTTGTATATGTTTGAAACCATTTTACGGGATCAAGTTTCAATTAAAACAAGGAACCTCGGCGTGAAGGACAGATGCCACCTAACGGTGTTCCATTCACCCACCCAGCCAAAATTCAACGCTCCTTAACCAAAGCCCCTTTTCTTAAATTTCCAAAACAAACCCCCCCCCCCCCCCCCCCCCCCCCCCCCCCCCCCTTTTTTTTAAATAAAAAGAGGAAGAGGAAGAAGAAAGGAGAGTGTATCTTTAAGAGAGCTCTCTTGGTCAACATGGAAATTTTATGACCAAAAGACGTATGCTTAGACTTTGTTTGAGGGTATTATGCATTTGTACCATAACTATAGGATTTTTTGTTTTATAGTATATTATTTTAAAATATTAAAAATATTAATAAAAATTAATTAAAATATCTTAAAGTTAATTAAAATTTTAAATTTATATTTTTAGAAATAATATTGTATTAAAAAAAATGTAG